ACACCACCAGGGTCTGGATCACCCTCTTCTTCCTGCACAGAAGTGCTTTGATCTGGCCTCTTGGGCTACGACTGCCTTTTCTTCCCAGCCTGATTTCCAGCTGGCTCCCAGCATCGGCTCCTCACTGCACAGCCCTCCCTGAGATGCCTGACTTGACAAAAGATGTGCAGGTGCTGCAGGTGCTGAGGGCTGAGTGGGAGCTGTCATTGCTCTGCACCCCTCCAACTGATGCCACTGGTGTCCATGCATGGCACGTGGGGATACCGATCCAACGGCACCACAGATGAACAGCACCTCTGGGTGCACTGCTGGGGCAAATTTGTCCTTTGGGCTGGTTCTGAATGCTGTCTGCATGGTGAGATTATTGCTGAGTGAATCAGATGGTTCCCCTGGCTGTGCGTCTTCCCAGGAGGCAATAATTTGGGTGAGATACTCATGTGACTCTCACAAACGTGCCCAGGTGAGTTTATGGGCCTCTTCCACCTTCCTTTCTTTTCTGGTGCTTGCAGTATCCCCCTCTCTGGCCCTTCTCTCAGGTGTTTTCACAAGCTTTACCTTTCAGCCTCCACCTCCAGAGCTCTGTGTCTCTCCCTTGTCAGCAGTAAGCCTGTGCTAATCACTCTTTCCCAGGAAGGCACTTCAGAACATTTAATGGTTTCTAGAATAAGGATTTCTGGGAAGATCAGGCTCAGTGTGCCAAGTCAGGAGATACCCAATGCTGGCACAGTTACTAGGGTACCTTGCTGATTTGGAAGTTTCCAGCACTTTTTTTGGTTCCCAAACCCATTTCAGTGGGAGCAGGGGCTGGAGCATGTCGCTGTCACAAGGGGAAGGAAGGAAGCTTTTCCAATTCCTTGTTCACAGCACATCCAACAGGAAGACTGTATTTCCCTGGAGTGCCGTTGTGCTACGATGCTCTGGAGATTGGACAGATTGTCTTGGAGAGGAGTGGGAATGTTTGTGAAGCCCTTAGGTGTGTGGTTATAAAGACACCTGCCAAATTCCATGTGCTGTGAACTCCGAGTATCTCTGGATTCCAGCTGCAGAGTGTCAGCAGGGCTCCTTAGGAAATCTGCATTGGATTCAGCTGTGGAGGTTACCAGCAACTGCACAATTAGTGCTGAGTGCATTTGCTAACTGTGCCATTAAGGAGTGAGCAATGGACAGATGGAGGAAGGAAGAAGTGCAGGGCTGCTCTGAACACACACCATCCCTCCAGACTCCATCTTGCACAGACACAGAGGAGAAACAGAAGCTCTGGGGAGATGTTCTTTAACTTATATGGAAAGGGAGTCAGTCTAAGGAGTTGTACCACTCTTTTCTGAGCTTGGAAATTTGGCCATTCTGCACTTTTTTCTTTATGGACACTGTGCAGTTTTCCCTTCAGCCAGTCCTAGTAAGAGATTTGAGGTTTTTTTCTTCTTTGAGGCTGTTAACAGCCAATTAACATTCCTAAACCCTCGCTTGGTTACATGCAGTTAAATGCACGTTGCCTGCATCCTCCCTCCCCTTTCCGAGCATCAGGGATCCCTGCAGGTATTCAGATCAAGGCGTTGGCTGATTCAGAGCTTTCCTGAGTGGGAAGTGACAGCTGAATAGCCTTGCACGAGGACAGCCCCAGCACGGGCTGGAGGAGCTCCAGCGCTGCTTTTCCTGAAGCACTCTCGTGGGTGTTCCCATCCCTTCCCTGCGCACCGAGGGACCCCTTCGCCTGATCTGCCACCAGCATCCTCTCCAAGAGCTACTCTTGTGTGCTAAAATCTGAGGAGCTCAGTTACAGGGCTGTTGAAACCTCGAGAGTTATCTTACAAACTGATTTTATTAGGGAGGCTGTGTGGCCAGCAGCTGTTGGGCTTCTAAAGCACTTGCACCAGTTGGGTTCTTGTGTGTGCCTGTGGCTGGGCTTGCAAGAGCCCCAGGAAAAGGGAGAAGTGATGCTGAGAGCTGCTGTGCCACAGGAACCACACTAGGATCTGGCTATGGGGAGCTTTGGATCATCCCCTAAACTGTCTGAATGCTGGAATCTCCTCCTCTGCAAAAGCCTCCTTGTATTTTCCAACAGGTTTCCTGCTTGGAAGAGCAGGACTGGGTCTGCTTCTCAATCTGTCTCCAAGTGTGAGGTAGCCACAGAATGAGGAAAACGCCCTGCAGCCTCTTCTATCCAGCTTCCCAAGAAAAATACAGTGCATGAAGCGAAGGGAAGCAGTAGGAAACAGTGCCAAGCTGTTTTCTGTGCTGTGTTGTCCTTCCCGAGTCCGTAAGTGCAGCCGTAGCAAACCCCCACTTTGGGGGCATTCTCCGTGTGACCAAACTGAGATGTGACTAGCAGAATGTCTGCTTGGGCAAGTAGTGAAAACAGATTTTGCTCCCAGTGCAGTTATAGAGCTGGTTCTGATGCTTAAAATGAGACTCAAGCACAAATTTGACTTAATTCAAGCATCCCTGTTGTCCTTGGCTAGTATGCTCCTCATCAGAACTATAGAAAGTAGAAAATTAACCTTCATCTCTGTATAATATTGAATGAAAACTCTATGAACAAGGTTTGGTGAAAACAAAATTGTTAAGAGCTTCTTGGCACAGACAGGACACACCCACATGGAAAGTGTTGGATTTTGCCACTGCTCCTGACCCTCTGAATTACCTTGTTCCTCCATTTTCTTGTATTCTTTTTTCTTTTTTTAGCTTCACTTTTCCACTGTTGGTGGCTAATCTGCCCCACTCATGGTTTCACCAAATCTGATAAAGATGGTCCCAAATGTTCTGCAGGAGCCATGACAGCTCCTGCAGAGCCAGGAGACACCTGCTGCAAATCCAAAGTGTCCTCATTTGTGTGGGGAATCCCTGGTCAAAGTCTGCTGGCTGTGCAAATTCTGCCCAAACAAAGCATTTTTGGAAATCAGCAGTTGAATGGGAAAATGTTGATTTCAGTGAAAATTTTCAGCAGTGTCTTGGGAATGGGGGAGGATAGACAGCAATGGTTCTTTTAATTTTTTTTATTTTTTTTTTCTTTTGGCTAGTGTTTGAAATTGCCTTAGGGAAAAAAAAATCAGTTAAATACTATTGTATAATATGCAAGTTGAAATGGAATGAAAGGGAAAAGTTGAAAGGAAATCTGTTGAGAAGCTGCTTATTGAAGAAGTTCTAAATTTGCCTTATAAGAAAAATCAACATTTTATCTGTCCTTGTCGTGATTTGGAACGAGTCTCCCCGAAATGCTGGAATTTCCTACAGACCAGATGTTCAGCCAGTTAATTTGTTCTTCATCAGCAAATACGTGAATTTCCAAGACTGCGTGTCCCCTCTCAGCTGGAGGGTGCGAGAGCCAGAGGAGCCACCCCAAATCAGAGCTTTTCTCACCAGAGCTGTGTGTGTGCCCATGCCAGAGGCTCCTGTACCTCCTTTGGTGTGAGGATGAGCTTCCCTAGGGGGCATTCAGGTAAAATCCTGATTAATAAAGCCTGAGCACACTGTGCCTAAATTAATCCGTGCATTAATTTCTGCAAGGATTTGAAGTGACTGCTGGGGAGGAAGGTAAAGGTAACTAGGGCCAAATGCTGGCTTGTTTTTTTGGGTTTTTTCCCCCCCCTGTGCCTGCTGTTAGTGAGAATCCTGCCAGAACAAAAGCCGAGGTGGGTGGTAAGGACTGGCGGTGTCTGGCTCTTACCTTCTGCCTGCCTGGCAGCTCGTGTGCTCCTAGAGCTAAAAAACAAGGCTCAGGGAGACTGTAGGGCCACATTGCTGTGGGGAGACCAGCTAAATGCAGAAATGTGATAAAGCACACAGCCTGGCCTCATGCCTCTTCTCTTGCAGGGGCAAGGGGTAGCCAGGTACACACTGAGGACATGTGTGACCTCCAGGTCTTTCCATCTTGCTCTGCCTGGAATTTCTGCTGGGAGCTCTCCTCTCCCTCATCCCTGTGCAGAACCCTTCTCCTGGGCAACACTCAGTTCCCCTGCCCCCTTCATGCTGGGGCAGCCTCAGCTGGCTGGGAATTGCCATCCAGGTGCTGGGGTTTGGCTTTGCAGCCAGCTCCTCCTTCGGCGCCGGACGGAGCTGCCTGAGGCTCTGCGCATTGAGCGGAGGAATCCAGAGGTCACGTTTGGCTGGCACCAGCATCTTGCCCTGGTTTCTGCCTGCTGTGATTGACTGGAGCCTTCACTGCTGGCTCTGGGGGCTCAGAGTGGGGCTGGCTGTGCCTGGCTGCCATGGTGCTGAATCCCCTGTGTGGGGACAGGCAGAGTTGTGAGGGGGAGATGTCACGACAAGCTGTATTTATCCAGGCTGTTGCTTGGCAGTGCTGCTCCAAGGTGCATCAACATAATGAGATACATAAAAGGAGAAGGCAGTTAAATGTGCAATAACATCACAATAAAAGTAAAACTGAGCATTAATGAAAACTCTGAGCACACTAAGTGTAGTATCATCGAGCGCTCCCACCACCTTAGGCCTTGGTGGTCAAACTTAATAATAATTTCTGGCAGTGTCATTACCGGAATTAAATGAGGGTTTAACTGTCTAGAAAAAGATGTTGGGAAAAAAAAATAGGTCTTGAGACTTCACAAGTGGTTTTGCTGTGTGGATGTCACCGAGGTAGCAGAGGCACCAGAGGCAGGGTGAAGTGGAGGAAGGGATGGCTGGAAGAAGAGCCAGTGTGGTTACTTCGGAAAGTGAGCTTTGCACTTGCTGTTGAAACACCTGAGGAGCTGCAGGATTGTCTGTGAGGGTGGGGTGAGGGTTTTAAAGTGTGTACCTGCTTGGCTCTGACCCGTGATGCAGCCTCCCCAGGACCAGCAGTGCTCCAGGGCATGATGCTGCTTTGGTTTCCTGAGGGTTTCCTGAGATTTCAAATACCCCAGAAATGACCCCAGAAATACTGACTGTTGCTCAGCATGAAAAATTGAACTGTTTGCTTTCCCCTAGTAACTAAAGTCTCTTTCCTCTCCTCTCATTCCCCTCTGTCCCACCCTGGCAGGTTTTGGAGGCTCGTTTTGCAGTGGCTGCACGCTGACACCATGGCACCAAGGCTCCCGGGAATGGGGCCCTTCTCCCTCCTCAGCCTTGGATTCCTGCTCCTGGTTCTGGCTCTCCCTGCTGATGCTGGGTAAGGTGGTGAGTGCTGAGCTGTTGGCCAAGGCTGCAGTCCTCTTACTGAACTTAAATATCCTGGGGTCAGCGTGTATGTGATTCATGTGTATGAAGCAGTGCAGGGCAAAGCACTAAAGTGTCTCTGCTGTGTTTGACCCTCCCTTTGTCCCCATCCCCCTGCCTTTCACCCAGGGACTGTTCGGTCCCTAGTGTGGCTGGCACTGCCATAATTTGAGGTGCTCTCACTGAGATCAATTGTCAGCATTTTTTAAAACAAAACCCATTTTCAGATTTGGCCTCTGCACAACTCATTCTGGGCAAGGACTGTGCTTGTCTGAGTTTTAACCTGGAAGAGAGATTCCCCCCACCCCATTTAATATTTTAATACTATTTTGAAGAAGAGAAAATCAGTCTGTTTCATCTGTTTGCTTGTTAATGGTGTAATGACCCACAGGCAGCACACTTGACCTGCTGCAGCACCAGGGTTCTCTGCCAGCCCTGGCTGGGCTTGCTGCTCTCCTGTGCCTGGGTGTGCAGGCTCTGGCTGTCCTGGCAAGGAGAGTGCTGCTGCCAGCTTCACCTTCCCAGCCTCTGGAAGCTGTCTGGAGGAGATGAAAGCCTGTTAGTCCATGACTGCATCCCACTAGAGCCTTTTCTGGATGAGCTCAGGGAGCCCTTCGAGGAAGACTGAGATGCCGCCAGCTGTGGAGAGGGAGGAGCCCTGCACAGAGGGAGAGAAATGCAAATAATACATGATTTCTATAAAACATTTAGAAAAGCCTTTAGAGTGCCAGGTATGGACACTGAAATGCTGTCTGCTGAATTAGAAGTCCAGAAGGGACCAAGGATCTTCATGCATGAAAAGATGTCGGCGCTGCCCCTCCCACCCTGTCCCCCCTGTTCTGCTCTGTCTGCTTGGATTTGACTTTGCAGCTCACCTTGTGCTATGAGTGCTGCCCCTGCCCTCCTGCACAGGCACAGTCAGCCCTGGGCACTGGCCTCTCACCCACAGTGGCTGTGGGGGGTGTCCCCGTGCCCTGTGCCTGTGGCTCTGCCTTCCTCACTGCTGCCTTTTCCTCCCCATCACGAATTCACCTGAGACGCTGCTCCCTCTCCACCTGCCATGCAGGGGTTGCTCAGAATATTGGTCCCCAGGAGGATTTGCTTCCCAAATTATGTGTGTGGGGACCCCTGTGCTGATGTGGCACAGCTCCCCAGAGAGTATGTGCACAGGTGGCAAGGTAATGACTTTTCCTCAAGCCTATCCTAATTAAATTTGCTGTAAACCTCCGTCCTTCCTGCCTAAAGGATTTTAATTATTTTAAAACCTTGATCCCACACATCTCTTTGCAGTTCCTTTATGCCTTGCTAAAGGGCAGCTTTAGCTTTATCTTAAGGTGAGGTGAGGCAGCCCAAAGCTTTCCTGGGAAAGGAATTATTAGCCCAAATCAGGTGCCAGGCAGAGGTGCTGCTGGCTCTCTCCTGCCTGCACCTTCCCTTGTCCTGCCTACGCTGCTCTCCCCCCAGCACCTCCCCAGCAAATCCCACACTGCTCACATTGAAGTCAAACCCTCAAATGTCAGGCTAAGTAAAACAGCTTTGAAATTTGTAAACTCATTTTTCCCATCACCGCTGAACCTCCGCCAGGAGTTCCTTCACAAAAATCCATCCTCTCACTCTTTATATTATGGGTAATTTTTAAAGATAGCTTATAAAACATTAATGAATGAGCTTTTCATGAGCATGCTAGCTATTCATAAGTTATAGATGGTTATATACTCATCAGCAGACACTGGGACAGATTGCTTTTAACCATGACATCTATTGAAAGCTGGTACAATTGAAACCCCACTAATTACAGCAGGCATTTGTTAAATTTCTCAAAACTCTTCTTACCTACAGGGACTTCAAGTCCAGATGAAAAGCCAAAACCAGTGTTTGGATTCAGCTGGAAATCTTGGAAGCTGTGATGCCGTTTGTAATGTCAGGGGTGTTTTGGTGTTTGGATCTGGCAGGTTGCTTTAGGGCTGGGTCAGGTGTTATTTTCCCTATGGAAACTGGAATTTCAGCACTGTGTTACTCTCCTTGTGTTCCTGGAGGCTCAGCTTCCTGGTTTGACCGCTCCTCCAGGTGTTGCTTTGCTAAAATACTGAGGCTAAGTGGTCCTGAGAGAGGTGGGATGTGCCTCTGGAGAAGTGGACCTCAGGCACTTGAAATGCAATTTCCCAGAGTGTTTGGTCAATGAACCCAATGAAAATTAATGTCAGAATTTCCCAAAACGGAATATTTCAATTAACTGCAGCATTCGAAATAGTATTGATTCAGCCTGACTCTTAAAGTACCCGTACCCTGCTCTCAATTTTTCCTCTTTTGCTAGGAAATACTCTTTGCACCTCTTTTATCTTACAGAATCTGAGTTTTATGTTGGGTGAACACTTTGACAGAGAACTCCAGCTCTGGTACTTGTCACCCTACTGACCTTTCACAGTGTATTTACAGAGGCACCAGCAGTGTCAGGGGTAGCCAGGCTGACCAGATGGGATGCAGCAGGATAAAGCTTTGAACTCCTTAAATAATATTCCTTTTTCTGTAGTTTTTTGTGGGTTTTCTTTCCCCCCCAGTTACCTCATGATGCATGCTGAAAGCAGTAGCTGCCACACCTCAAAGGACACAAGGCTGGGCTGGGAAGGAAAGGGGCAGAAGTGTTAGAAAGTGACAATTTAGGGGTTTTCTTCCCCCAGGAAGACACTTCTGATGGTCATAGGTGCTGTCCTTGGTAATTGTAACCATGAATTCCATGTCCACCGCCTCTGGTTTGTGGCATTTGTGGTCTTCCTCTGGCCAGTGTTCCCCTGTTATTCTCTTCTCCACTTAGTGCCAATTTGCCAGTCAGGGCTTCCCTGCTCCCAAGGGGTTCCTGTAGCTGCTGCTGAGCATCCCTCTGCTTTAGCAGCCTTTTTTCCCCTGCCTGCTTGGGCATCCTCAGCCATCTCCCTGCCTGTTTGTGCCTCTTAATCTTTTTTTTGCCTCATTTGTCTCTCCCTTATTTCCTCTTCCATCTTCCTTGAAAACTCTTCATCTCTATAGATTTTTCTTTTTGTTTTCTGTTACTTAATCTTCTGCCTTTCCATTTGTTTTGGTCCTAACAGCTATTTCTGCTGGGGAAACTGTGCTTGAAGCCACAGCACTGATGCTCTGTGTCATCTGAAATCTCTTTTAGAGGCAGGTGGTTCCAGAAGGACTCGCAATCTCCTTTTCTGTTGATTGAAAGGGAGACACAAAATGCAAATGTATTACTTGAGCCCCTTGTGTTTGCAAAACTGCATTGAAGATTTTGTTCAGTGAGATGTGCTTTTTTAGAGGAATTTACTCCTCGTTTTATTCCACCTGGGGCAAAATATGTTCTGAGGAAATCATCTTGTTTGGGGGCTTCCAGGCTTCTTGTGTTGAGCAGAGATGGGAATGTGGAAACTCATTTGTTTTTATAAACAGGGAAAGTTCAGCAAACTGCAGAGATGGTTCACTAAGTGTTTTAATGATGAGGCTTTAAGCCTGTTTACTGAATTTTTACTTTTCTGTCTCCCCTCTTCCCTGGGGCAGAGATCTTTGAAATGGCTCAATCTGGCAAATAACTGGTGTCACTTCTCCCATGCTGCCTGCAAGGAGATAGTGGCACTTGAATAACTGAGCTTCCCACAGCCTCTGCTCAGAAAATGCCCATTTTTAGGGGCAGGCAAGGGATATTGGAGCAGCTCCCTGTTAAAATAGGGCTCCTAAACCGCTCCCTGTGGTGCTGCTGGCTCTGAGCGGGGAAAGGTGGGGAGGGGACAGTGGGGAGGTCTGTGAGGATCAGAAATGCCCTGTGCTGAGTCCTGCAAACGCATGACTTTATCAAAAGCTGAGTCCTGCACTTCAGGCTGGAGCAGGAACCCCCCTCCCTTCACTCCCTGTAGCTTCTCAGAGCATGCACAGCATAGATTTCCCCCTAACGCTTTTTTCCTGGTTTTCTCCCTGTCCCATGGGCCAGGCTCTCTCAGAAGCACGTCTCGGACGTCGTGGATGACAGCAAAGACAACATCACCATTTTCACACGCATCCTGGACCGGCTCCTGGACGGATACGACAACCGCCTGAGGCCTGGGCTCGGAGGTCAGTGGGGTGCTTCCCTCAGCTGCGTGCCTTTAGCAAGGCCAGGCAGCACGGATGATTCTGAGTAACTCAGCTGCTGGCAGGAGGGGAGGCTGCTCGCTGCCAGGCTCACTTGGTGGCTGTTGCCCCGTTTTGGGGCTGTTTTGGGGGTCTCGTGGGCCGAGAGGTGTGAGGCCCGGGGTGCTGTGGCGGCCTGTGACAGCGCAGGGACGGGCCTGCAGATGGAGCAGCTGGGGATGAACCTGCTCCTGCTATTTTGGAGGCATCACCCTTTCAGAAATGCTGATCCATCCAGAAAGGAAGTCATTGAGGGGCTGGAGCGCGTCCAGAGGAAAGGCCTGGAGCACAGATCTGATGAGGAGCAGCTGGGGGAGCTCAGCCTGGAGAAAAGGGGGGTCATTCTCACTTTCCACAGCTCCCTGAGGGAGGTTGTATGTAGCCAGGTGTGGGTCAGGCTCTTCTCCGAGGTAACAAATGACAGGACAAGAGGAAATAGCCTCAAGTTGCACCAGGGGAGGTTTAAATTAGATGTAAGGAAAATCTTTTCACAGAGATGGGTGTAAAGCACTGGAAAAGGCTCTCTGGGAAATGGCAGAGGCACCATCCCCGGAAGTGTTGGTGAGGACAAGGCTTAGTGCTGAACGTGGTGCTGGTGCTGGGTGTGCAGCTGGACTTGATGACCTTTTCCAACCTGAATGATTCTGTGGCTCTATACCACCATTCTGCAGAACCTTCACCTCAAGTTGGTGCTGCTTTTTAGTCAGTTTGCTTTGCTACAGAGCCTCTATCTCCACATCTCCTCAGTTATTTCCTATGCAGCTGTCACCTGGCAGGCTCTCCCCCCGTACTGCTCTGGGCACCGGGCACTCGCCCAGGCCCTGCTGCCTCCTGAGCTGCATTCGGCACTGCTGCCACTATTGCTGCTGCTGCAGAGTTTCACTGCAAGCTCCTACACTTGTCTGAGGTGCATCAGAAAGAAAAAGCCATGGCAGTCACCTTCCCACCTAATGCCTACAGCTCCAGTCAACATGATCTAAGGGGGCAGGAGAATGGGGAGATGTGTGGGGAAGACAGATGAGATTAAGGAGATGTGTGCCTGGGTGGTTTCCTGGTGCACTCTTGCTGTGGCAGAGGTGGCCCCTCTCAGGTGCTGACAGCTGTGTGTCCCTGGGGCTGCCGAGAGAATGTTCCTGCACTGCTCTGAGCTCTCCTGCTCAGCAAAGGTGTGCTGCTGAAGCATGATTTCCACCCAGAGCTGGAGTCACCACATACTCTCCCATTTTCTGAAGATCCTGCTGCCAAGAGCTGCTTTTCTGAGCTCTTGCAATGCTGATGGGATCTCCTGGAATGGCACTTTCCTTCCTCAGAGCAGCCTTGCCTCCTCCCAGCCCTGTGTCCACCTTTGTGCCACAGCCCTCTGCCCTGCAGCTGCCCTTTGAGACCATGCCAAACTTGGGGAGGAAGGGCTTTTCCAGTGAGCATGCTCTCCTCTGCTGTGCTGCAGGACCCAGACAGGAAAGGGTTACAGTGTCTGCATAAGCAATCAGTCAGTTTTATTGCTTTTGTTGCTTGTTTCTTTCCCCCAGAATTAACTGTGGTCCTACTAATAGCTTTGCTTCCTCAAGTCTCCCCGATGGCTGTATTGATTTAACTGAAATGAGTTCTGCACAGGGACTGAGGGGGCATTTCTGCTCACTGTAGGCTCAGCTGCAGACAAGCCCATGCTAAGTGTTAACAAGAGGAGTCCCAGGAGCCCCTTGCTGGGGAAGTTCAAACCTTTCTTGGAACATCTTTGCTCCGTTGCTTTAGATCCTTTAATAATGTGTTTAACATAATAAATTGCCTTTGCCTGAGCCAGCCCTTGTGTGTTTAAAGATTGCTTTCACCTCTGTGTTCCCCTGCTGAGGCTCTCTGGCAGACCCAGATGGAAGCTGATGAGGGCTGCAGGTTTTGGGGGCTCTTGACTGGCCGTGAGTTGTCCTCTGTAGGGAGCAGCCTGGTGAGCCAGGCCCTCCCCACTTTCAGTTTTTCCCAAGGCTGAAGCCTTGAAGGTCTCTCAGGAGGAGAATTAGGGTGAAAGACTTCTCCCACTGCTGCTGGTGGCCAGAGAAGCAGAAATTATCTTGCTGCAGACTCCAGAGTTTGGGGTTAATGGAAGAGCCTGGGGTGGCAGTCAGCAAGAGACGGGCTCCTGATGTCCAAGGCTGTGTGAGGGCTGGGAAAGCGATTGTCTTGCTCCAGGTGAGCATCTGGGTGATGGAACATTGGTTTTCCTGTAAGACAGTACTGGGCAGTCCCTGTAGTCTCCTCATTTCCCTTGGGAATGTCTTCCATTGCTTTTCTGAAGATGTCAGGCAAGAGCATCCACACCCTGCAGTGCATGGACAGGGCAGATGTGGTGATCTTGTGTCCACACCCGGGCTGGTGGAAGGGTGGAGCTCCCTAAATTGTGTGTAACCTGTGTGAAACAGGACATGCAGGCTCTTTGCCTGTCTGGCTTTCCTGTTCTGGATGAGATGCCCCTGCAGACATTCGGGACATGGAGGGCTGAGCAAGGTTTGGAGCTGCAGCACCTCTCAGGGCTCTGCAGTGCTGTGTGTGCTCAGCCCCGTCCCCTCCTTCAGCTTCCTGTGCGCCAGGAACCGAGCAGTGTTTGTTTAGACTTTGGGAGAAGACACTGTGTAAGCAACAGAGTGTTAATGTGGTGACTTCTCCCCTCAAGATAGCCTCTTTGTATTTATTTTCTTATCCCCTCTGCTTTCACCATCTGCTTCCACCCACTCTAATAGCTGCCATGCCAGAGCTCCTCTTCCTACCAGGATGCTGCAGACACGAGCTGAAGCAAGCCCGTGCTGAGGCTGCTCAGGAGCGCCTGCTGCTGCAGAGCCAGGCTCCAGGTGAGGGTGGCCCTGGGCCTGGCTGCTGCTCCTGCCCCAAACAGGAGACATCCAGTCCAGCCAGGAGCCTGTGCTGGCCTGAGGCGGGGGGAGATTTGTGAGCACAGTCCAGGCTGGCTCAGAAGAAGAAAGGCAGGGGAAGGTTGCTGTCAGACCCCTTCTTCTGCAGTAACGCCCTGTAGCACTGGGGACACAACCATTTGTGTCACAGTGTCTGGCAGGAGGTTCCTCCCTGTCTCTGCCAGCTGAGCCAGGGCTGGATTCCTCTTAGGAACAGAGCTGAGTCTTTTCTTTAGCCTCGTGACCACTGAAAGATAGTCTGGGCTTGGGGAAGAGGTAGCTGCATAAAGAGAGCATCTTCTAGGACTCAGAGTGGGGGAGGAGAGGAAGGAGCTGTCAGCAGAAAACCTGTTTCCCCTGGGAGAACACGGGGCAGATTGGTTATTAAGTCAGAAGAGGAACAGAGATGGACCCCGAGGGAATGGAGACATCTGTTGTCATGGCCAGCCTTGTAGGATCAGAAAATGTCCCAAGAGAGCTTCTGTGAACAGCACGGGCCTCTGCTCTTGGTCTGGAGCTGTGAAGTCACACAGATCCTGTGCCCAGCCTGGAGGGGCTGCAGTGGGAAGTGTCTGTCTGTAGCTCTCTGGTTCTCCTTGCTGGGACTCCCTGCGGAGCCTCATTTGTGCACCTGGAGCTTCCAAGAGCAGGAGAGGAGAGATGTGGCCAGGAGAAGGAGGTGGAACTGGCTGACCAAGGGTGAGATGTCCTGTGCCCAAAAAGAAGAGATGCTCATGGAGTGGGATGCAGAAGAAGGGACAACAAGTGATTCTTTGTGAATGACAATTGTACAGAACTGCCCCAGGTGTCCCTGCAGTCCTTACAGAGCCAGTGTGACGTCCAGCACAGCGACACGAGGGAGGACACAGTGGTTGGGGGTTTGAGGGTCAGTGGTGCTTCCTGGACAGCTGTACCCCCTCTACCTTATTTCCTAATTTATGACATTTTGTCATGTTGCAGCTGACACAGAGCCATCCTGGGAATGCCTGGGCAGGGCCAGGAGGGGACATTTCCAGGCTTTTCCTTCCTTACAGCCTCGAGAATGCTTTAAATATGCTTTGGCAATGTAGTGCTATCAGGGAGCAGCTTACTGCTCGAGGAGGAGGCACGTGGGACCTTTCCACAGCTGTTTGCAAAGCAAGGCACGGGTTTCTTCCAGCTGAGCCAGAGACTGGCTGCTCCACAGGGCCAGGGTTGTGCCTGAGGCACATTTGGGGTAAGGGTGAGGAACCCAGAGGGTGTCTGGAGCAGTGCTGGACAAAGTCTCTGCATTGACTGCTTGGGAAGCATTCCAGAAAACTGCTGGGCTTTTCCAGGGCATGCCAGGAGAGAAAGATTTTGCCCCAAGGAAGAGAGTAGGCTGCTCAGTTTTCTAAAAGATGAGTTGTAAACATCCCAGATAAGCCAGTTTCTCCAACTGCAATTAAAAAGCAATTTGTACCATGTTAAGCAGCCAGGCTGGGATCGATCAGCGTTATCCCTCCTGGATGCAGTATGACTGGCAAGGTAACTCGTGGTATTTCCTTGAAGCTTCTACAGCATCTCTGGAGTCCCTGAACAGCTCAGCCCTGCTGAGGGGGTGCTGGCTGCTGAGCACCCTGCCAGACCAGCTCTGCACCAGGGGCTTCTGGACAGCTGAGGTTTGGGAGACTCCTGAAGTGTCCATGGGGTTTAGCAGGACCAGCAAACACAGGCGTCTGGATTAAAGCAACACAATTCCCCAGGCAGAGCAAGGCCCTTCACCCCTTGGGTTCCTTCTTCCTTGGGGACAGGGTAAATTACATTCCTTGGCCCTGGGGGGGTCCCATCCAGGCAGAGGGGAGCCCCAGCTGGGTATATCCAGAGGGTGAAAGCATCCCAGGCTCCTCTTCCTCTTCTCCACTGTGTTGTTCTTTGGTGTCAGCACCTCCCAGCCCACGCTGGGCTCGAGCAGGACTTGGTGCAGTCAGGGTCTGCTGCTCACAACTCAGATCAGGGGTGCCCTCCTGGGCCTGTGGTGCCTTTTATCTGTCCTTACTGTGTCAGCTCTGCCTTGCCAATGGT